CTATATGTTTATCAATAAAACTTCGAAAAGAAAAAAAGATATACTCTTATGAAAAACTGGTAAGTTGAATTCCATTACAATTTAAGAACCTTAAGCTCTGTGTAGACGCAGAAATGAGAACACAGCTGTAGACTGGGAGAACTACTTGCAAGACTATTAATTAACAGCATTAACGCATAAAATATGAAGAAATTATTCAAGAGAACTATAAAAAGGTGAGGGGTAAAGGTAGAAAGGGAAAGAAAAATGATAAAAGGAGAAAATGGAAACAAAGCTTTGTAAATGAGAAGGGGAGGGCCTGAAGGGAGGTGAGAGGATGGAAAAAAAAAGGAACACAGACACAGCATGTGTAGGTACCAATTTCCTATGATGAATGTGATCATTATGTACATTTAAGCCATACCAGTAAACTTAATAAAAAGAAGTGTGACCCATATCACAGCACCAGCTTTTACCTGTAACTTATAAGCAATGCAGACTTTTGGTCCCATCTCTGAGCTGCCTAATCAGAATTTGATTTTTAACAAAGTACTCAGGTAATTAGAACATTTGGAAAAGGCTGAGGGCTGTGTTCTAGATTTAGTTTTAGAAATAAAGAAAGCAAGGTCCAATAAAAGTCAAATAGGCCAAGCTTTTTACTAATGGAGAAGAGATAGGGATGCAAAAATAAATTTGAAAAGTTTGGGGCTGAAGAAAGGGAGGGATATAGGGAGAGGGAAGGAGAAAACAAGACAGGTGGGGAGGAAGGGAGGCGGGACAGAGGTTGTCATGGGCATAATTGAGAAAAGTGAAATATCGATGAGAAAAATCAATAATGACCCACATCTAAATGGGAAAAGTTTTCAGTTAGCAATAATCATGCCTCACATAAACCTCATTGGCTAAGATGCCGCCCATACACAAAGCTAAACCATATCTAAATGGAACAGGTGATTTATCTTAGGGAAGGAACAGGGAGATAAAGTATATGAAATTTGATGAAAAAATAGATCAAGAAAAGAAAAAAGAGGACTACGTAGAGGGTTTATTAATAAGACAAATGTCCTACAATTATTCTCCTAATCTGAGTTCTCATTTTGACCAAAATATTTCATACATGTATATATATATATAATATATGCATACACACACACACACACACACACTACTATATTGAGTACAGGGTCTCACTACAGACCACACTCGTAGTGATCCTCCTGTTTTTCAGCCTCCTAAGCACTGGGATTACAGATGCGTGCCAACACGCCCAGTCTCAATCACTGTCTCAGTGCACCCCTGGGACAGGGCCAGGATGGCACCCTGGGGATCGAACCCCAGTCCCTGTGGCTGTCTAAGCAGGTGCTTTAATCTGCTGAGCTATCTGGCTGGCTCCTGACCAAAATATTTCTAAATCTGTTTTACCCTTAAATTTACAAATTTAAGACTACAGTGATTTTAAAATATCAAGGGTATTCCAATTTAAACACCAAAAATGTATAGCCTTTGTGGAGAATGTCCAGCTTAGAATGAAAACAGCTAATGTTCTCATTTTATGGAAAGCAAGCCTCAAAAACTAACGGGAAGCATTAGAAAGACAAAATGAAATGAAAATTCTGGGACCAGGGAGATAGTTCAGCAGCAAAAGCACCTGCCTTGCAAGCACAAGGTCCTGAGCTCGATCCTCAGGATCACTGCAAGTTCGAGGCCAGCTTGGGCTACAAAATGAGCTCAAAGTCAGTCTAAACTGTGTGGCGAGACTTTGTCTCAAAGAGACAAACAGGAAGAAAATCCTTTAAGTTTTGGTGTCACATGTACTATCAAAGTAATAAACTAGTATTACCATTTTTTTATTTTAACCGTGGATAAACAATTTTGTCCTTTAGAAAAACATATAGTCTATTACATTTAAAAGGCAGTTCCCTATAGTTGTTAGCAGTAGTGTCTCAACACAGGTAGCATCCTGGCTCTGCCAGTCTCAAACTGTGCTAAGGGCCTTAAACTCTGTATCTCTGGAGCTTAGCCTACTTTGCCTTGCCATTTGTGAGGATTAAATGAGGTAAAATGACTGGCATAATAAAACCTGACACACAAACTGGCATAAAAACTCAAAAATGTTTACTTTTTTTTTTTTTTTTTGGCAGAACCAGGAATTGAACTCAGGCCCTCACGCTTGCCAGGGAAGTGCTTATTCTACTGAGCCATCTCCCCGGCCCCAAAAATGTTTATCTTTTGTGCGAAAAGATTTTAAAGGTATTTCTTTTTTAAGTAGGGTGATCCACAGATAAAGGGCTATCCTATTTTAATATAATTGGAATTCTTTCACCTTAAAGGACAGTATTTAAACCAAGTCTGGATTTCTGCCCCTTTTCCTATATGAATTATCATTTTGCATGAACACAGACTCCATTATGTTTATGATGGTAAAAAAGTGCTTTGTTGAATCTGAAGACAGACTATTAAGTTTTTAAAACAGCAAAACTAAGGGCTAGTCAAACAGCTCAGTGGATTAAAGTGCCTGCAAATAGGTACAGGGGCCAGGGGTTCGATTCCCGGGCCTGCCCTGCCAGTGTGCTCCCAGGGCGCGCTGAGATGGCAATTGAGACTGGGCATGGTGGCGCACACCTGTAATCCCAGCTCTTGGGAGGCTGTAAACAGGCAGATCTGGTAGTGAGACCCTGATCTGGTAGTGAGACTCTGTAGAGCCTTCCCTAAAATACAAAATCAATCAATCAATCAACCTCAGCAAAACTGAAGTAATTCTGGAAATAAAATATAGCAACTTCAGTCATTTAACCTTATCAATATTCCCAATTTTCATTTTTTGACCAAAGGATAAAGGAGGACAGAAAAACACATTATCAGAATTGTGGAAGAATTGTTCTCAGAATCTACTTGCATTCAATCTGTCGCCTAAAAAAGAGAAAGCTATGAAACTTTTCCCTTGTCATTCTTTGCAATTGACATTTCTCTAGATTACTGCATGCTGTTTAAGGACAAGTAAAATGCATCAGACCCAAGCCATTTATTATCATTCACATGTCCCCACACATATGGCCTCCTTTATTGTTCTATCAAGTAACCCAAGCAAACTTTGTGCAGAAATTTGCAATTATCTTTGCAGCACTATATACGTGCTATACAAATGGCCTGACTATGACCCCAAAGGTCCATGTGAGGTTTTAAGAGGGTGGAAACTTAATTCCACAGTATGTTTAGAAGTGGGACCTAGGGGAGATAATGAGGATTACAAAAGGTCATCATGATGAGGCCTCAAAATTGCATATTGGTGACTTTACAAGAAGAATGTGACACATATGTTGTCTCTTGCCACATGATAAATACCCTGTGCCTTCTTGAAACTTTGCCAAGATAAGTCTGTTACCATATAAAAGCTCTTGATATTGGGCCAGAACCATGAGTCAAAATAATCCTCTTTTCTTTATAAGTTATCCAGCCCCAGGGATGTTGTTACAGTAACCAAAAAATGGACCATTGCAATTTTTCATAGGAATTGTCCAATGTATGAATCTCCAAGTTCCCTAGGATCTACCATGAATTTTAAATGATCACAAATTCTTTGAAACTCTTTAATACATTATTTCTCAAGTCCTAGATATGAACTGATCTTATGAATTGCTTTGACCATATCATGTTGTGGAAGTAGGTTCAACTAACTAGTTTAGGCCTCAAAGGACCTTGAAACACCTCCAACTGCCTCCTCAAACTCTTCTACACAATCTATTCTGTGAGAGATAGATGACCTAGCTAATAGCCAAAACCAGCCATTGGATATAAACAAGATCCTCATAAAATATATAGACTCAAGTCAAGACAACAGGAAACAGTGACCATGTAAAACCTTGATGAGATTAGCAGATGAACAATTGAGTTTATTTTAGCCCAAAATGCCAACCAGAGAATCATAATCAAAATGGTGTTTAATCTATTAAGTTTAGAGTGTTTTTATCCTATGAGAGATAATATATCTAAGTCCTCAACCTTCATTTAAAGAAATGAAATTATTTGTACATAGGATAAAACTAATGTGTTATATGTCAATGAAATTAAATTGACTAGTGTGATCACAACCAGTTCATTGGTGCTTGACCTAAAATAAATCATGTATGACAATACAGGAAAAGCCAAAAACTCATAGGGTGACACAGTAAAAAATTCTGTTTCAATAGACAACTCCATAGAAGACTCACATTTTACTAAAGACCTTTTATGAGGACTAGATGCAGTGATGCACTCTGATAATCTGAGTTACTAGGAAGGCTACGCAGAAGAATTCCAAGTTTGAAGTAAGTGTGGGCCATCTAGTGAGATCCTAGCTCAAAACTATAAAACATAATAAAGGGGCTGGAGTGTAGCTCAGTGGTAGACAACACACCTAGCATATGTGAGGACCTGAACTTAATCCCCAATACTGCAAAAAAATAAATTATTAGGTAAAATGAATTCAATAAAAACAATTTTAAAAATGGGGCCACCAAAGCTACTAGTGCTTCATGAACAATCTAATATACATCTTATATCTGTAAACACTAGGAAACCAGGGGCTCTTTGCTTAGCCTCATTACTTCCCTGTGTTCATTTTAAAGTAAACTTGCACTGCCTAAGGAAACTTGAGCATTTCTTTCCTTACAACATGAAAAGATTTAGTATTGTTGTACTTATTTCATCTGTAGTGACATGTCATAGCAATAAAGTGTCTTAAGAACATTTCTAGAAAGTCTGATAGAAAACGTAACATTCTTGCCTTCTGATAGGACCTAGTAATGTTCTTAAATTTATAAATGGACATTTGTTTATTATATCTTTACTATTTAGTTTTATGAGTTAAAAACCCTTTCATTTCCTAAACAACTAATGACACTATACAGGGTTTATTCTCCAAGCAAAAATAGTGAGGAGAAAAAAAAAAAAAAAAAAAAAAAAAAACCTAAATTCATCACGGAGAATAAAAAGGTAGATCTCTCCAGGGTCAAACTCAAATCATGACAATAAAACTTACTGCCTCAAAATAAGCATCAGGTACTATCACTTTTCATAAATAATTATCCAACAAACAAAACCTAGTGTCTACGTGTCCAGAGTATCTAAGAATAACAGTTTACTCCTTGAAAATATGAATATCACCATCACTGTGACTTTTTACAATAGGCTTTCTCACCTCTAGTATTTCTCCACATGAACATTCCTCAGGTTGCTAAAACTCACAGAAACAGAATTTATATATTAACTTTAAAGGATAGAAGTAACTACTTAAATCACGAAAGGAAAAATTAGAAAATAACTGAATTCTTGTTCCTGAGACCCTAAATTCTGCTGGATTAGAAGTCTTAGTTCCAGAGGGGGCAAGACTTGTACCAGAAAGCATAACAGTGATACCACATTGAACTTGAAGCTAAGATACCTCTCTGGTCATTTTGGCCTCCTTATGACTTTGAGGAAACAAGCTACAGAGGAAGTCACAGTGTTGTCAGGGGTGAGTGATCCAGATTACATAGGATAAATTAGACTATAGCTCCACAATGGAGGAGAGCAAAAATATACTTGGAGTGCAAGAGATCCCTTAAGGTGCCTCCTGGTATCACTGTGCCTGTTAACTAAAGTTAATAAAAAACTACAATGACCTAATCCAGGCAGAAAGACAAATGGTCCAGAATCTTCAAGAATGAAGGAGGTATGAGGCTGGGGAGATAGCTCAGTGGTCTAAGTGCCTGCCTGGCAAGCGCAAGGACCCAGGTTCAATCCCTGGTACCACATGTTATGCCAGCCACAGAATGCCAGTGCAATGTGCTGGCCCCGGAATCCTGACACACTATGCTGGCCACCGAACTGGATGTGGTGGCACACGCCAGTAATCCTAGCTCTGGGGAGGCTGAGACAGGAAGATCACTAGGAGTCTGAGCTGCATAACAA